TCTCGCGTTTTATAATCCATCGACGCGAACGTGGCAGAATTTACCGTTCGCTTCCGCCTTGGATAAGTACACCGGCGCGTTATAAATTTCGAAGTACTGAGGTGCCGCGCGATAAGGAGGGCGCCGCGCATGTTAGCGCGGTGGTTTCGAGTTCGTTATCTCGCTCGTTGTAACCATGAGACATGGTGATTGATAAGGCGATCCCCGGCCGGGGATAGCTATCGTGAGATTTTGGACGTGGCTGGGATAGCGCGAGGAGATTGTCGGGGCTGTACACTCGAAGGCGCGAAGGGTCCCGGCTGCACCTCTCTCTCTCTCTCTCTCTCCCCCCCCCCCTCTCTCTCTCTCTCTCGTCGTGTGCGATCGTGCATACGAGCTATAGGGCGCGCTAAAGCGTCAATCGCGAGAGGCACGCGAGATTCTTCGTCTCCTTTGCCTCGCGCACGCCTCGACGGATCGAGGATCGTGCCGGCGTTGGAAGCCCCGTTCATCACCGCACGCTGCGTCGGCAGACGCGAATTATTGATTAATGTCGCTTCCGCGTTCCGTTCCGCGAGCTAATGCGCTTTGTCTCCCGCTGTCGCGAGATTCCCGAAGCAGCTGCGAGCGCAGCGACGGACACACTCGCCCGTCTCGGATCCGTTCTGCGAGTTCACGAGGAAGGCGCGAGGAGTTCACTCGCCGGTCTCGTCTCGTCTCGTCTCGTCCGCGTGCGAACGCGCGCAGTAGAAACAGACGGCACAAGCCGGACACGAGGCGCTGCCTCTCTCTTGTCTCTGTCTTTGACGTCTCTCTCTCTCTCTCTTTCTCTCCCCCTCTCCCTCTCTCTCTCCCTCTCTCTCTCTCTCTCTCTCTCTCTCTCTCTCTCTCCGCAACAGGGGGAGAGACTGAATTCTATTTCTATTTTATTATCGCGGGACATACTCGGCGCGCGCGTGCAGAGGGAGCAGAGCATCGATGTCACGAGGAGAAATGTCGAAAAGTCGAAGGTGGTAACGCGACCACCACTCCCGCGCCGTAAACGGCCGCCGCTAAAAGTAGGCGTAAATTTCTTCGCCGCTAATTTAATACATATAATACGCCGGGCAATTAACGTAATACCCGTGGTTGCCGCTTCCCGGAGTGAACGCAACAAAATTAGGGGCTAATTAATTTAACCCGCGCGCGTTTTGCTCCTAACAAGACTCATGCCTGGTTAATTCACCTCCCTCCCCCCCCCCTCCGCCCATCATAATATACAAAACTGCGCGTTTTTGCGCGATTACTCTTTCAGTTCAGCCGAGTCGTTAATAATGAGCGACAACGTGACGGCATCCAGTTGCACGTAAAAGTGCAATTATCGCGAAACCGGCCGGAATTAACCGTTCTCGCTCGTATTACACCAGAGCGAAACACGCGCGCGCGCGCGCATTTCGTACTTGGAAAATAAGCGCTTGAAAAGTGTTCTCGCGGTGGCGGTGTAAACAGCGGATTCTAAAGTTAAACTTGCACGTCAAACTTGCCTCGCTGTTTACCGCGCCACGAGTGGTCGCTTCCTCCTAGTCTGGAGTATCTTATTTCTGGTCTCTCTCTCTCTCTCTCCCTCCCTTCCTCTCCCTCTCTCTGTCTCCGGGGTCAACTATCTCTCGCACCCTTCGCAGATTGAATTTCGCCAAGAAACAGCGACGGAGATTCACGACGCGGCGCGGCGCGGCGCGGCGCGAGGCAGCGATCGCGCCTCGGCGTTCTTGCTCGTCCCGTCCCTCGGAGCTAATTCATCCGGGAAGCCCGCGAGCCGTGCGATTCGCCGCTCGGCGAACTTTTCTATTCCCGCCGGCCCGGCCACGAGGGTAGGGGGGGGAGGAGAGGGCTGCGGGCGGGTCCGACGGTTGCGCCGAGGCGAAGGCCACGCGAGTCGTCCCAATGCAATTAAGATAAGCGGTCGCGATGTTTATAAATATTTTCGGCCACGCGCGCGTTCCGTTCCTCCAGCGGGGGGGGGGGGCAGGCCAGGCCAGGCAGGGGTTAGGTTACGAGCATGGCTCCCCGTATCTGACGTGGAGTATCCCCGTCGTGACCAGCCGGAGGCTACAACCCCTCGCGAACTTTCGCGTAGACCGACGGCCGCGGCGCGTTCCGTCCTCGGCCTCCGCTCCGCTCCGAGCGTTCGTGTGTGTGTGTGTGTGTGTGCGTGTGTGTGTGTATGTGCAAGGAGGGAGAAAGCTTTTACACAGAGTTATCCGGGGTTAGGTTGGACGCTCTACGTGCGAATGAGACGTACTGCGGTGCCGGAGATAACCGAGCGAGCTCTGGACGCGTGCGACGTGCCGCATGAAAAATTACAAGTGCGCGCGGTGCGCCCCGTCTTCCGTCTCGCCGCGCCTCGCCTCGCCTCGCCTCTCTTACTTGCTCGTTCCCTCGCCTTCGCGACGTGACTCTTCAGGGAGAAACTACCGTCGCCACACACCACCGCCGCATGCCGTAGCATGCAACCGCGCTCGCCTCCCCCCTCTCTCTCTCTCTCTCTCTCTCTCTCTCGCTCTCGCTCTCTCTCCCTCTCCCCCTCCGTCCCTGCCGCCGCCGTCGTCATGAAACCGCGTCGTCGAAGTCGTCGCGCGCCAGATTAAAACGTTCCCGAGTTCTCCGCGCTGTAAAACAGTAGCCGAGGACTTAAGTTCTCCCGCGGACAGACGACAGACGTTCCCCGTAAGAGCGTCGATTCGCCGCTGATTATCGGCCGTCCCCCGACGGTGTCCTAATTAATTAGCGCGTCGGCGAGCGGCTTTGTCGTCGAGCGACCGACACGAGCTTCGTACACGATTCGTCATTCGGCGACTTCGTCACCAGCTTCGCCTTTGCAACCGCGCGCGCGCGCGCGCGCGTTAACGCGCGCTCGATCGAGCGCGCGAATCACGGCTGGATATTACGAGAGCGCTTAGCGCGTTAGCGTGCGGAATTTAATGAATTTCGTAAAGTGACAGAGTCGCGCCGATAGAGTCGTGTCATAAATAGCGCGCAATCTCGCCCCGCTGGGCCTGTCCGCGCGGGCCTGGCGCGGCGCGCGCGTGCCTCCTTACATCCATCTCGCTGTGTTGAGATAGTCAAATGACGATCAGATAGGGCCGAGAGGCCCTTTGAATAAATCCCCAGACCGATAGGGAGGCGGTCCCAAGGGGTTTGCTCGACAGCGCGATAGCCGATAATGGTCTGGTTCAGGCACCGTCCAATTCTCGGGTTAATTACCATCGTTTTAACCCGCCGCGATATCGACGTCATTTCTTAAACTGGGAATGTAGTCTCGCGCAGGAATTGATTCTCTTCTGACCGGAGCCGCTAGCGGCGGCGGCGGCGGCGGCGGCGGCGGCGGCGGCGGCGGCGATGGGAAAGGAGAGAGGGCGGGTATTTATCTTCTCCTCGAATATATCGCGGGCTTTGCGCGTCGCGCGCCGTACATCACACGACGGCCGCCGAATTCCCTTCCGCGATTTGTTATCGCGAGCATCGATCGTCGTTGTCGTTGCTCTTTTGCGAGTCGCTCGAGCGAGACATTGTCATCTGTCGCGGCGGCGATTTCACTCGCGCGTCTCCGCCGGCCGTCGATTATGTCGAGACCACACGCCCCGTTTCTTCTTGCTTCCCCCCCCTCTCTCTCTCTCTCTCTCTCTCTCTCTCTCTCGCGATAATAAATTATAAACTCGCGCGCAATTTTACGGTCACGGATAAGCAACATATGAACTTTTGAAGTGCGACTAATACAAGGGGGCTATTTATATCAGCCGCGAGATAACGGCCTGATTCCAACTTGTGTGTGCGAGGCTTGCGTGAGCGAGCGACGGCGCGGCCGTAAGAGAGGGCGGGCGGTGGGTTGTTTCCGTCGCTACATCGATATTACTATCTGACGAAGATGATAGCGTAGTGGACTCGCGCGCGCAACGTGGTGCGCGATTAAGCGACATGTTTTACGGGTGACGGTGTATCGTGCGGCCCGATCGAAATGTGTCGCGAGTGAAGCATTTCCCGGGGATATCCCCGGTAAGAAATTATTCTTCCGCTGTTGACAAAATCAGCGACCGAAATCTCGCACACCGGCCGCCGCGGCCGGCGCGGCGCGGCGCGGCGCCATCGTCATCGGGGCGGAACGAGCGCTCGCGGTCGAAGCGTCACGTTTATTTTCGCGCGGCAGCCGCCTTTCGACGAATCCGGTCGATTCGAAACTGCGTGAGATCCGTACATTTCCGGAGCGAGCGGCCGCGAGAGCGCGCACTATGCCCTGCCTCCCTTTCTCGCTCGCGAGGTCTCGCGCTCACGTCGTGCGTCATAAAGATTACGACGTAAAAGTTCCGCGAATGTATGCCGCCGCGCCGGCAATTACGCAGCGAGAACTTTCCACCGGGGCGGCCCTGTCTAATTACGGTAACACATCGACTCGCGTCACGTAATTGCCGCGGCGGCGGCGGCGGCGGCGGCGGCGGCGGCGGCGCCGAGCACAGCGAAAGATTGCGTATCCATGATCGACCTTAAGCTCGCGCCGCGCTTGATGCGCGCGGCGAAACTTTTATTCCGCCGAATCTCAACTCACTGTGCCTGCGCTGTGCAAGCGAAAAGCTTTTCGTTTTGCTCGCAAGACCGCCCCGTCGATAAGCGCCCACGCCGTGATATGCCTCTAAGTGATTACTCCTCCGGCCGAATTCTCTCGCGTGCTTTTCCTCACCCCCGCCCCCGCCCAGCTCGCGCGGGGCGGGCAAGGGGAGCGAGAATCGTGTAACGTGTAAAAGCGCCGATGTAAAAACGCGCGCGCGCTCTCTCTCTCTCTCTCTCTCTCTCTTTCTCTCTCTCTCTCTCTCTCTCTCTCTCTCTCTCTCTCTCTCTCTCTCTCTCTCCCTCTCTCTTTCGTCACGAAACGCGCGCTGTGCTCGAAACTGCGCACCGCGTTTACTGCCCGATGTAGCGCGAAATCCGCTGCGTTATGCCGCGCATAACAATTGGCCGTCGATAACAATCTTTGTTTTCTTCTGCCGCAGGTTGCGCGTTCCTCACCTACTACAGCCGTGACAGCGCAATCAGCGCCCAGAACGCTCTGCATGAGAAGCGGACTTTACCAGGGGTGAGTGTTTACAACGTTTACTGCGCGCGGTTTACCTACTTTTCAGCCAATTACACTGCAGTAATGCCGACTCATTTGGTAGCGTGTCGCCCGAACCTCCGCCGCGGCGGAAATCTTATCTCACAGTCTCGCTTAATAAGCGCGTTCTCTCGTTAGCCGTCGCTACATAAAACACACATGTACATACACACACACACACACACGTAGCAGCGCGCTCTCGAGCGAACGTAACGCCGCGCGAACCGCGAAGGGGCGATATATATTTTTCTTAATCGCCCAGTTTCATCGAAGCTCTCTCGCGCTCGCGCTCTCACCGTATGCGCGACGTTTCGACGTTTCGGGTTTAAGCCTGCGTGTGCGTACCGCTTGTGTTCCGTATTACGAATATCTCGCGGAAATACGCGGAAATTAGCCGGCGAGATCAGCGCGCGCGCGCGCGCGCGCAGCCTCTCGTTTCACGACGAGAGGCCGTTGGAAGTGCTCCAAGTCTGCGGGCGAACTTGAAAACATCGATTTATTTAGTCTCGATTTCACCGCGTGCCTCACGGCACGGCCATCGCGCGGCCGGCCGCGCTACGCGGTCGTCTTGTAATTTTTAATTTCGAGAGTCGCGCTCGATTGCAAGGCCGAAAACAGGTGACGAATACTTTTCGCCGTCGCGTCGGCAGGCGTGTGTCTTCTTCCGTATTTCTCCGACTAGTTTCGGCGATTCCACCAGCCGCCGCCGCCGCCGCCGCCGCGGCGATATTAAAATGGCCCGACGTGACGAGTTAATCTCTCAACGCCGAAAGGCCATTTACGCGGGCGGCGAGGGAAGGAGCGCTACTAGCGAGCGGGGGTGGCATTGACGCGGTGGCGAGTCCGCGATGTATCGTCAGACTTTCTGCACGGCGAAACCTGCCTCGGCAAATGCCAGGGCCGGATACGCGCGTTCTTATTCCCCGGGTATATGCGCACCGCCGCCGCCGGGAGAATCGCGCGGCATTTACATTCGAGGGAGTCGCGCTCTCGCACGCAGCGAACGGGAGAAAGTCGCCGGCATCTCTCTCTCTCTCTCTCTCTCTTTCTCTCGAGGTCAGGGTATAAAGAAGGGGCGAAAGAAACTGCGGCGCTCTATAATCGTACGGTCCGACCGGCACGGATGGCTCCTCCATATTTATGGCGAGTAATGTCGTAAATAACGCCGGACATTACGCCGCTAGCACTCGGCGGCCCCGGCCGGCCGCAGTTGCTAACTCGGCGTAGCTCCCGCTGTCGCACAATGTTAGAAAGTTATGATATCTTGGGGATATCCGGGAGATTTCTGCCGGACGTTTATCGCGTCCATAACGCGCGCGCGCGCGCGCGCGACGCTCGCCGCTCTCGGTTCCCTCGATATATCAAGGCCTTGTATTCTGCTCGAGCGCGAGCGCTACGAATTTATATCACGGCAATGAGCCGCGATTAATCCCTCGGAGTCGGGCACGCGACTCGCTTATCAAGCGGTCATCTCTCTCTCTCCTCTCGCAGGCAGGCCCGGCCGCGCCGCGCCGCTTCTCTCCGGCGCGGCGCGACGCGCGAGCGAGACTCGAGCGGAAGTCGCGCGCGCGCGCGAGCTGTGTGCTTCGTACTACTGGCTTCGTCTGCCGACGGCGGATAGCCGCGCACTCGAAACTCGTGAAATTTACCATCGATCGCGCAGCCCCGCCGAGCGGCCGCGAGCCGGCACTGAACGCTGCTTAACTGCCAGAGCAGTGCCAACACGCCCCTTCCCATTATCTGAGCTACCCCTTGGAAGTCCGTAGCGAGTACTGGCGTTATGTTTCGTTAATCTATCCCCGAAACAACGCTGCTACGGTCTTGGCACCGCTGCCAGCGGAAATCGTTTTAAATGTTATGCCGAGGGATGTGCCGTGGGGGTTAGGTTGAGTTATGACTTTATGAAGAGGCAGACGCACATACGCGCGAGCGCGAGCGTGTCGACGTTTTTCTCTCTCTCTCTCTCTCTCTCTCTCTATCTATCTCTATCTATCTATCTATCCATCTATCTATCTATCTCTTTCTATCTCCCTCTGTTTTTTTTCTCCTTTTTTCTTTTTCGTCCGGGCGCACGCGGTTTCCGCGTGTCGGCCACCTACGAGATATATCTGAAAAAAATCTGCACGTCCGATTCTCGTGATATATGCGTCGCGACGAAACCGCTCCATCCGAAATTGCGCGGTTAGCCCAATCCGGCGACGGGGGATTCATGTATCGTTCCCGTCGCGTTGATTCGGAAAAGTTGCCTCAGCCGAGAAATTTGGGGATTTCTAATCTCGCTAATCGCCGCGATGTCGCGGATTAATAGCGCAGCGGATTAATAGTGCGAAGTGTGAACATTCCGCCGCCGAGTGCGTGTCTATCTGCTTTAACTCTTTGTCGATCTTTAGTTTCGATAAGTGAAATGCATTAATCATATGTATCTCGCTCAACTGCGACTGATGGAGAATTGCGATGAACGAGTGTTAAACGATGCGGAGAAAATTAACAGGAAAAGGATACGATAAGCGGCTGAAACGACAAATTTTATTCTTTTGTCCTTGAGCACCTTTATGCTTGTTTCGTATCGATGTTAAAAATTCTGGCGGGGCTTCTCGTTCCGCCAATTAATAAATAATTTTACTATCTCCGGGTAAAAGGTCCGGAATATTTCGGAACGTTAATTTTCGTGATTTCTCAGTCATCGAGTGCACCGACGATCACATCGACGAGCGAACGACGATTCGCGCTCGCTGGGGAGCGCCGCGGCTCTTTGTCACTTTCGAAGACACCGATTGTTTTGGAATCCTCCTTTGTTGCGTGTTTGTCCGTGACCAAGTCATTACGTCTCTCGAGTGACGTACATGGCGCGCGACGCAGTGTGCGTTGTTTGCAATTCCCGTCCCGGGCGATTCAAATATTTCGTCAGCTATTGAAATATTTAATCAAGCTCTCGTCGACGTCGCGTTAATTAAACACACGTTTCTCCGATCAAATTGTACCTACGCGAGTGTCAATACCGCGATGTATGTAGAGAGAGAGTATCGGGAGCAGCAGGGTATCCTGGAAGTCAGGTCGGAGAACGTAGCAGGACATTGGCCGCGCGTGGACAGCGATACATCACGCAGATGCGCCCAATTATTTATGATTCGAATTTAACGAACGTTTGAACGCCGACTCACCGTGAACAAGGAGATATCCCGAGCGGAAATTTAGACCGATAGGGTTCCCCCCGCCTCGACGGGAGGATTATAACGCAAAGAACCGTTCGCAAAGTGGGACAGATTCGCGAGCAAATGATAAAGATTCAATAACAGGAGTCGCTCGTGTGAATCGGTATCGATATTTCGAGCCGTGAAGCTCGAGCATTGCCCCGGGAGCCCTCTACATCTGCTTATCCTTGTACTGTGTTTATCGCATCCTGATAAGATAAAACGGCTAAGACGATATTTAGACAGATGCTCATCGACGACCATTTCCTCGTCGGAGTAACACGGGTCTTTTGGGGGATCCCCGCGGGGGTCTCTCCCCTTCGACTGACCGCGAGCTCGCGGTGACGCGCAGTCGCCGCAAATTTTAACGTCAATTCGTGACGTTCAATTCGCGCCGTGTAACGGCGGTCTGCACAAACACACACACACACACACACACACATCGAGCGCGTTAGCCGTCCCGCCCGATCGCATCGGCAACGTGCGACGTTTATGCAGATCCTTAATCTAACGCTTGTATTCACTGAGGCAGTTTTACGAGCGACACTTTGAGCGCGCGCGCTTGGCGAACTTCCTCCGAGACGCTGATTTCATTCATTGGGATGACTCCTGCTCTCGGACGCTTCCTGTAAACGCGGCTAAACGCTCGCTAAACCGACTCCGACTGTACCTGCGCGTTTACGAGGCCGCTCGTTTACCGATCGGCCCTACCTCGAGTCGTAATATCCGAATACACCTGAGGCCATAACTCGGCCGAGCAGCGGACCCTTCATAAACACGGATCCCAAGCCGAACACTCCCGCTGTGCAAGCAATAACAATGCCGCCGGCCAAACGGCTATACTTAGCTCGTGCTTACTGCGGAAGCGATCGTTGCACGTGCGCACGCGCCGGTTCGCGCGCGCGCGCGCACGCGAGAGAACGAGCGAGCGAGCGAGCGAGCGAGCGAACGAACGAGCGAACGAGCGGGCGAAAGTATTCGGCATCTCGCTTCCGGTCGTTTCCGTAATACTTCTCGCGCGGCTTGACGTGGCGTGTCAAACTTGTTGCTATACATACACGTCCGATGATTCAGAGCCCGGTTCCTTCCTTGAACGCTATATTTAATGGCGCGTAGATGCCGGCTTCGACTTTCAGCGGAGGCGGCACACCGGGGACCTCACGCGCTGTATTTATTATCGAGATCGCCGTTAAACGAGCCGTGCGAATCGGCTTGTGTCATTCGGTAAAGCGCAAAATCCGCCGAGCGAAAAGTATGTCTCTGGCGATGAGAGCGAGCGAGAGAGCGAGAGAGAGAGAGAGAGAGAGAGACGGATTGACGATTGATTAAACGCGCTTCGTCATGAGCGGCTCCGGCGGTATCGCGGTGACGCAGCTTCTCGGCTTTTTCGAAAACTTTTTTATTTTGATCGCATCGCCGGTGTGCTGAATCGTTCTCGGCGGCTTTTCATTCGCTACCGAATCCATATAGAGATGTACACGGGCGTCTTGCCGCGATAAAGCCCGCCAGATTTAATTCCTGTTTATTTGCTTTGCCGCGTGAGCCGCGGCTGAATCTTGGCCGTCGTGTTGGTCTAGGCAGGCTCCAACATTAACAGTTCGCCAGATGTTCGCCGGTATTTCGCGAGGCGACAAGAAACAAAAAATGGCGCGCGAGCCCCCCGGGATTCGATCGGTCCGCGGACGTTAATCTCTGCCCGATGTTCGCTTCACCTTCTCTCCACGCGGCCCATAAAGATCGATCAAAGTGGCAAATTGGTATCATAAGATTTGTCGTATAAAAATGTAATTT